TAGAATGAGATTAGATTGGTCAAGCAGGATGAGGGTGGCACCTTGCACATGGCTGTATTTCCTCTCACAGGCAAGCTGTGACATGAAATGCCGAAGCTGGACCATGCTTAGTCTGTGAGCAGCCCTGGAAGAGCTTTCAGGTATCCCTCAGGAAGAGAGATTGCTCTGCCTCCACGGAGCCTGTGATGCTCTGTGTTGCACAGGTGATGGTAGAGGCCTCAGCACATCACCAGCAAGTACAAAGCAGTGCATCTGCCACCGCTGGCTCTGGTTGTATTATGTGGCTGTCCCAGATTAAGCACTCTTAGAGTCTGTGGATAAACCTCTGGTCAGAATACACTGAGGTTCCTCTGATGTTCCTATATATTAGGAGTAATTGAGATACCAATATGCCTCCACCTGGAGGCAAGGACTAGTTCTGCAGCTTGTGCTGAAGCTACAACCTAAGCCTACAACCTTGCACTACGTTGGCAAGAGGAGTGAGTCAAAACACAAGCACCTTGGGCTGAGAACTGTCTTCCTCCTTAATGGTAAAGTGCCTTTTGTATGTTTCAACACTGCATAAAAACTTTTGTAAAGTGTTACATTGAGATAACCAGCCAAGGCTGTGTTGCTTTTCACAGCCACAGGGAGGGGTTTGAGTATGATGGGAATCCAGATTTGCTCTGGTGTGGAAGCTTCCTACTTTATAACAGAGATCAGGAGAAGCCCCCTTACCAGCATTTGTGTCTCATAGACACTGCCATTCTGTATGCTGCTGTTTATCTTCTAAAGGCAAATGTACATCCTTCACCCTTCGCCTTCCTTTCCAGTATCCCTCCATGGGTGAAGATAGCAAGCATCCTTATGCTCCTTAAATCATGCAGTTCTGCATGTATCATTTGGGAGGCCTGGGACAGGAACAAAAACCACAACCAGGTGGAATGGATAAAAAGTCCTCTCAGACATATCATTTTTTGACAAAATATTTTGGGGTGAAATTGTACATTCTTTTGACAAATTGAAAAATTTAAGTCCTATCTTTTATAAGTTGGGATTGAAGATAGGGGTCTAAAATGGCTTTTCAATAGAACTTTTTTATATAAAATAAAAACACTTGAAGCATACTATCATACCTGACACATTCATATTAAATGCCTGAAACAGTCTACAGCTGTCTCTTTTAATAGCCTGAAATATTTTGTGGAATGGAAAAATTGTTTTCTGTCCAGTGCTACTGTTGTACTCTTCCTCCCTTCTGTTTTTTTCCTCTTTCTTTTGCACATGTACCATCTTCCCAGCTAGGAGATCCTGCTGCTTCCTCCCTACCTTCTGTGCACTGCCCATCTGGTTTGGGCATTATTTCATCGATGTCTAAGCAACCTGTTCCTGTTTTCTCTGTCTTCCGTAGTTATAGCTCGCTGAAAATGTTGCTCAGTCCTTGCTCACAGATGCATGCACTTTGCTGTCACCAATATGCTGTGGAAGCAAGAGCTGTGACAACTCTCTTCATGGGTGTGAGTGTGTGCATGTGTGTCCTGTGAGCAGTAGGACCTGGAACTTTATGGGAAGGAGTCAGGGAAAGGTGAGTTTGCTGTAAAGAGATGATTTATTCTGCAACATGCAGTAGAAACTGCTGTTTGCTCTAAGACTGTACATCCTCTACATGCTGCTGTGTAGCAGAAAGACAGACATAGTACCCTGTATTTTTCTGTCATTTATTAGAAATGGCCCCTGAAGTACACACACATGCAAGTTACACAGCAGGGCCAGGAGCAGCACACCTCTTTTTCTGGTCCAAACTGTTCAGTGGATCCTGGGCAGCCCTGCACCTCCTCCCCACAGGTGGACTGGAACAGAAGTCCTTAGTGCAGTGGGGGTAGCTGAGACATTGCCTGCTATGCTTGCAGAGGGCAGTTGGTGACTGCCCCCTGCAAGCTTTGATGCAAACTCCTCTGGGACTTGGGCTTTGACATCAGTCAGTCAAAATGTTGGCCTGGACTAGGAAAAAACACTTGGAAATGCAGAATGATTGAAAGAATCCAACATTGATTCACCAGTGTGCTGGTGTCCTGGAGAAGTTCAGATGAGCTTTAATTTGGCAGTGAAGACAGGAGACAATGCTGACCTATGCAGGGCCCTCAGCTTCAGTTTTTCTTCTTGTTTTGTGACAGTGCTTCTACCTCCAGGTACTGCAGCCCAATCAGCATCCCCAAGATAGAGAAACCTGTGGTGGGGATACAGGATGAATTGTATAGAAAATGCTGGACAGGAGATGAGGTATTTGCTCCCACCATGCCCTCCCTGCCCCTAGCTCATAGCCTTGTGGAGACTTTTTCTTTGGGATCATAGCTCCAAGGAAATTTTGTGGAAGATGCAGAGCTCTACTTACTTGCTACCATGAGGGGTGCCATGACTCCAATTGTAAGGGCTGCGGTGTGGTAAATGAAGACCTCGGAGAGGAAGTGAGCAAGGGCCAAAAAGAAGGTGAAGAGCGTGATGTAGTAGAGGCTGTTGGAGAGCAGAAAGAAGCAGGTTAACCACACAGCCCCATAGTATGGGCACAAGCATGGCTGAGTGGAAGAGGCAAACCTGTGTGCAGCCCCATTTGTCCTTGGTGTGGCATCACAGAGGGCAGTGAGGTGCCTAGTGAGGTGCAAAAGCTCCCTGGGCAACAGCTGTGAGAAGAGCAGGGCGGCATGTTCACTACTACTTTGAAAGACACAGGCATTATCTGGCCTGAAGGCAGGTGAGGAGGGGAGAGCAAGGGTAGGACACTGGTGAAGTAAGAAGCATGTGCACACACAGAAAGAGGGAGAGAGCTGTATGAGCCAACAGGATTTGGCTGCATCACGCAACACGTCTTCCCTCCTGTGTGTGCTCTGCTACCCTCAGGGCCAGAGAGCAGGTCCAACTGATGCAAGATAAAAAAAATCTTTCTACAAAACAACTGGTTTCATGGCAACGGGTGTTGCCACCACTCCCAAGAAACAGAGTCCCTGCACCTCCCTACCATAGACAAGCCTAGGCAATCCAAGGACGTGCTGCCAGGTGTAAAGTGACTTGTCCTGCAGGGCTGACAGAGGTGGTGACAAAAGAGTGAGGTGAGTTCTAGCAACTTCCAACACAGGCTTTGCTTAGCACAGACCCAGATTTGGCCTGCTTGGAAATCCCTCTGAGAAATAGTACTATTACCACAGGCAGAAGTGCCTTGCCTCCCACCACAGGCCTTGTCCTCAGGCCCAGGTAAGAGTTTATGGAAGAAGACAGTGGGTTAAGACCACCGCAAGGTGCCTCTCCACCTGCCACAATCCTTAGCGGAGCTGTCACAGGAGAAGAAGTACTGAGCATCAGTCAGACCACAGCACTAGCCTTTGCTTAATGTCAACAGGGCAGCAACACCATCAGGAGATGCTTTCCTAGCTGGAGCTCAGAAATTTGTGACATAAGAGGCTCTCAGATCCACTGATTTCTGCCTGGGCTAGGAAATGGAACTCAAATGCGCAGACTCTCCCTAGAGGGGCAGCAGGGAGCGGCAGTTAACACACAGATCCCACGGTGCTGTTGAAGCTTTTTTAGGGGAACGCTTTCAACCCTGCAGAGTCCAGGAGCAGCTCTTGATTCCCCACCTCCTCCGCACAGCCCTCTAAGCAACCTGCTCATGTTGCGACTAGCAAGCAAACCGAAAGATTCATCGGGCGCTCCTTTACTTACGTCCTGTTGCGGATGTCGATGGCGCAGAGGCAGCGGATCACTGATGACAGCAGGGTCCAAACGCCAAAGATCCGAGCCTGGAGCCCGTTCACTGTGCAAAGAAGGGGAGAGCACATGGAGACATCACCATCCCCGGCATCATCCC